CTCTCTCAGAAACCCCCGGAGAGGTTTTTGTGTGTGTGGGGTGTGGGGTAATTTACCTGATTGTACTCACCTTTAAATTTTGGTTTTCGGGGGCGATACCAGTCCTGGCCCCGCCCCCTTAATTGGTTTGCTCTGGGGCCCCCTCTCTCTACTTCCTTGGGTTTGTCATACCCCGTCTTAAAGATATAATATATAAAATAAATTTTTTATATTTTTTATATTTTATTTAAAATTTTAAAAGTGTGGTGTGGTTTTTTTTTGTGGGGTGTGTGTGTTGTGTGTGTGTGGTGTGTGTGTGTGTGTGTGTATGTGTGTATGTGTGTTGTGTGTTTTTGTGTTGTGTGTGTGTGTGTGTGGTTTTGTGTGTGTGTGTGTGTGTGTTTTGTGGGGGGTGTGTGGGTGGTTGTTTGTGGTGGTGTGTGCTGCCCGAAACGTACACGGGGTGGCTGGGCAGGTTTTCAAGGGACTGGGCCTCTCTTAAGGGTCTTTCTCATCGATAAACCCTTTTTCCTTTGTCTTATGGGCGGGGGTTTTCCCCCCACCTACCCTTGTGGGCGAGGGGGGGTTTCCCGCCCCCCCCACCCCCCCGTAGGGGGGGGGGCATACCCCCCGACCCCCTCGCCCGGGTTGAAAGGGGAGAGATGATGGGCGAGCTGTTTTTGTTTTCTGTCTGATCAGTGTTGTGTTGTTAATGCTGGGGGTGGGGCGTTGTGGTGGTGTTGTGTTGTTTTGTAGTGTGGTGAGTGGGACGTTTTTGGTGAGTGTTGTGTTGTTAGTGCTGGTGAGTGGGACGTTGTGGTGAGTGTTGTGTTGTTAGTAGTGCTGGTGAGTGGGACGTTGTGGTGAGTGTTGTGTTGTTAGTAGTGCTGGTGAGTGGGACGTTGTGGTGAGTGGGGCATTGTTAGTGCTGGTGAGTGGGACGTTGTGGTGAGTGTGTGTTGTTAGTAGTGCTGGTGAGTGGACTTGTGGTAAGTGTGTGGTTGTTATGTGGTGAGTGGACGTTGTGGTGAGTGTTGTGTTGTAGTAGTGCTGGTGAGTAGGGACGTTGTGGTGAGTGGTTGTGTGTAGTAGTGCTGTGAGTGGACGTTGTGGTGAGTGTTGTGGTTGTAAGTAGTGCTGGTGAGAGGGACTTGTGGTGAGTGGTGTTAGTTGTGTGTGAGCTGGGAGGAGATTGTGGTGAGGGGCATGTAGTGCTGGTGAGTGGAGTTGTGGGTGAGTGGTTGTGTTGTTGTAGTGTGTGAGTGGGACTTGTGGTGATGTGGGGCGTTGTAGTGCTGGTGAGTGGGGACGTTGTGGTGATGTTGTGCTAGTAGTGCTGGTGAGTGGGGACGTTGTGGTGAGTGGGGGATTGTGGTAGGGATTGTGGTGAGCGGGGGATTGTGGTGAGTGGGGGATTGTGGTGAGTGGGGATTGTGGTGAGTGGGGGATTGTGGTGAATGGGGGATTGTGGAAAGTGGGGTGTGGTGAGTGGAGGATTGTGTGAATGAGGGATGTGGTGATGGGGATGTGGAAGTGTGGTAGTGGGGAATTGTGTGAGTGAGGGAATGTGGTGAGTGGGAATTGTGGTGAGTGGGGGACTGTGGTGAGTAGGGAAGTGTGGTGAGTGGGAATTGTAGTAAGGGAAGTGTGAGTGGGGAATTGTGGTGAGTGGGGGATTGTGGAGGTGGGGAGTAATTGGGGGAAGTGTGGTGAGTGGGGAAGTGTGGTGAGGAAGTGTGAGGAGGGATGTGGTGGGGGATTGTGGTGAGGGAATGTGGTGAGTGGGGGATTGTGTGAGTGGGATTGTGTGGGGGAATGTGGTGAGTGAAATTGGGTTGAGTGAGGGAAGGTGGTGAGTGAATTGTGGCGAGTGGGGATGGGTGATTGGAGAATGTTTTGAGGACTGTGATGAGTGGGGGACGTGGTGAGTGGGGGACTGTGGTATGAGGATTAGGTGAGTTTGGGACTGTGGTGAGTGGGGGACTGTGGTGAGTGGAGGATTATGGTGAGTTGGGGACTGTGGTGAGTGGGGGACTGTGGTGAGTGGGGGACTGTGGTGAGTGGGGACTGTGGTGAGTGGGGGACTGTGGTGAGTGGGGGACTGTGTGAGTGAGGGATTGTGGTGGTGGGGGATTGTGGTGAGTGGGGAACTGTGGTGAGTGGGGGATTGTGGTGAGTGGGGGACTGTGGAAGTGGGGGACTGTGGTGAGTAGGGACTGTGGTGAGTGGGGACTGTGGTGAGTGGGGACTGTGGTGAGTGGGACTGTGATGAGTGGGGGCTTGTGGTGGGGGATTGTTGTGAGTGGGGATTGTGAGTGAAGTGGTGGGATGGGAGATTGGGGTAAGGGATTGTGGTGAGTGAGGGATTGTGTGAGGTTAGTAGGTGGAGGGATTGTGGTGAGTGGGATTGTGGTGGGTGGGGATTGTGGTGAGTGAGGGATTTGTGTGAGTGAGTGGGGATGATTGTGGTGGGTGGGATTGTGGTGGGGATTGTGTGAGTGGGGATTGTGGTGGGGGGGATTGGGTATGAGGATTGTGGTGACTGAAGGATTGTGGTGGGAGTGTTTGGGGGTGGGATTGTGGTGGGGGATTATGGTGAGTGGGAAATTGTGGTGAGTGGGAATTGTGGTGAGTGGGACGTTTGGTAATGGGGGATTGTGGTGAGGGGATTGTGGTGAGTGGGGGATTTTCGTGATTGGACGTTGTGGTGAGTGGGGGATTGTGGTGATGGTTGATTGTGGTGGGGGATTTTGTGAGCGGGACGTTGTGGTGAGTGGACGTTGTGGTGAGTGGGGGATTGTGGCGAGTGGGAGTGTGTGTGAGTGGGGGATTGTGGTATGGATTGTGGTGAGTGGGGATTGTGGTAATGGGAATTGTGGTGAGTGGGGATGTGGTGAGTGAGGGAAGTGTGGTGGAGTGAGGAATTGTGGTGAGTGGGGGATTGTGTGGGTGGAGATTGTGGTGAGTGGGGAATTGTAGTGAGTGAGGGAAGTGTGGTGAGTGGGGAATTGTTGTGAGTGGGGGATAGTGGTGGGTGGGGGATTGTGGTGAGTGGGGAAGTGTGTGTGAGTGGGGAATTGTAGTAAGGGAAGTGTGGTGATGGGGAATTGTGTGAGTGGGGGATTGTGGTGAGTGAGGGATTGTGGAGTGAATTGTGGTGGGTGGGAATTGTGGTGGGTGGGGAATTGTGGTGAGTGGGGATTGTGGTGAGGGGGAAGTGGTGGTGAGGTGGAATTGTGGTGAGTGAGGGAAGGTGTGGTGAGATGGGGATTGGGAGGCTGTGGTGAGTGGGGATTGTGGTGAGAGGGACTGTGGTGAGTGGGGGACAGTGTGAGTGGGGGATGTGGTGAGTGGGGATGTGAGAGTGGGGAGATGTGGTGATGGATGGTTGAGTGGGGGACTGTGTAGTGGCTTGGTGAGTGGACTGTGGTGAGTGGGGGACTGTGGTGAGTGGGGGACTGTGATGAGTGGGGGATTGTAGTGAGTGGGGGATTGTGGTGAGGGGGAAGTGTGGTGAGTGTGGAATTGTGGTGATAGGGAAGGGTGGTGAGTGGGGAATTGTGGTGAGTGGGGGATTGTGGTGATGGAGAATTGTTTTGAGGGACTGTGGTGAGTGGGGGACTGTGGGAGTGGGGGATTGTGGTGAGTGAGGGACTGTGGTGAGTGGGGGACTGTGATGAGTGGGGGACTGTGGTGAGTGGGGACTGTGATGAGTGGGGATTGTAGTGAGTGGGGGATTGATGGTGAGGGGAGTGTGGTGAGTGTGGAATTGTGGTGAGTGAGGGCTTGGTGACGTGGGGGATTGTGGTGAGGACTGGGTGATGAGGGGACGTGGTGAGTGGGGGACGTGGTGAAGTGGGAGACTGTGGTGAGATGGGGGATCGTGGTGAGTGGGGGACTGTGGTGAGTAGGGGACTGTGATGAGTGGGGGGACTGTGGTGAGTGGGGGACTGTGATGAGTGGGGGATTGTAGTGAGTGGGGGATTGTGGTGAGGGGGAAGTGTGGTGAGTGTGGAATTGTGGTGAGTGAGGGACTGTGGTGAGTGGGGGATTGTGGTGAGGGACTGTGGTGAGTGGGGGACTGTGGTGAGTGGGGGACTGTGGTGAGTGGGAGACTGTGGTGAGTGGGGGATCGTGGTGAGTGGGGGACTGTGGTGAGTAGGGGACTGTGATGAGTGGGGGACTGTGGTGAGTGGGGACTGTGATGAGTGTGGGGATTGTAGTGAGTGGGGATTGTGGTGAGGGGGAAGTGTGGTGAGTGTGGAATTGTGGTGAGTGAGGGAAGGGTGTGAGTGGGGAATTGTGGTGAGTGTGAGATTGTGGTGAGTGGGGGATTGTGGTGAGGGACTGTGGTGAGTGGGGGACTGTGGTGAGTGGGGGACTGTGGTGAGTGGGGGACTGTGGTGAGTGGGGACTGTGTGAGTGGGGGATTGTAGTGAGTGGGGACTGTGGTGAGTGGGGGACTGTGGTGAGTGGGGGACTGTGGTGAGTAGGGGACTGTGATGAGTGGGGGACTGTGGTGAGTGGGGGATTGTGGTGAGTGGGGGATTGTGAGTGGGAGATTATGGTGAGTGGGAGATTGTGGTGAGTGGAGATTGTGGTGAGTGGAGAATTGTGGTGAGTGGGACGCTAGTGCTGGTGAGCCGGGGATTGTGGTGGTAAGTGGGACGCTAGTAGTGGTGAATGGGACGCTAGTACTGGTAAGTGGGACGCTAGTAGTGGTGAGTGGGACGCTAGTAGTGGTGAGTGGGACGCTAGTGGTGAGTGGGACGCTAGAAGTGGTGAGTGTGACGCTAGTAGTGGTGAGTGGGATGCTAGTAGTGGTGAGTGGGACGCTAGTACTGGTAAGTGGGACGCTAGTAGTGGTGAGTGGGACGCTAGTACTGGTAAGTGGGACGCTAGTAGTGGTGAGTGGGACGCTAGTACTGGTAAGTGGGACGCTAGTACTGGTAAGTGGGACGCTAATAGTGGTGAGTGGGCCGCTAGTAGTGGTGAGTGGGACGCTAGTAGTGGTGAGTGGGATGCTAGTAGTGGTGAGTGGGACGCTAGTACTGGTAAGTGGGACGCTAGTAGTGGTGAGTGGGACGCTAGTACTGGTAAGTGGGACGCTAGTAGTGGTGAGTGGGACGCTAGTAGTGGTAAGTGGGACACTAGTAGTGGTGAGTGGGGCGCTAGTAGTGGTGAGTGGGCCACTAGTAGTGGTGTATGGGACGCTAGTAGTGGTGAGTGGGACGCTAGTAGTGGTGAGTGGGACGCTAGTAGTGGTGAGTGGGACGCTAGTAGTGGTGAGTGGGACGCTAGTATTGGTAAGTGGGACGCTAGTAGTGGTGAGTGGGACGCTAGTACTGGTAAGTGGGACGCTAGTACTGGTAAGTGGGACGCTAATAGTGGTGAGTGGGCCGCTAGTAGTGGTGAGTGGGACGCTAGTAGTGGTGAGTGGGCCACTAGTAGTGGTAAGTGGGACGCTAGTAGTGGTGAGTGGGACGCTAGTGGTGAGTGGGACGCTAGTAGTGGTGAGTGGGACGCTAGTAGTGGTGAGTGGGACGCTAGTATTGGTAAGTGGGACGCTAGTAGTGGTGAGTGGGACGCTAGTACTGGTAAGTGGGACGCTAGTACTGGTAAGTGGGACGCTAATAGTGGTGAGTGGGCCGCTAGTAGTGGTGAGTGGGACGCTAGTAGTGGTGAGTGGGCCACTAGTAGTGGTAAGTGGGACGCTAGTAGTGGTCAGTGGGCCACTAGTGTGACCTTAGTAATACATATATAATACAGATCTTACCTCTTTGTGTGCCTTCGTCAATGGTCCAAGTCGGACCGAAACGTCGTCGTAAGCTCCTCTCTATGTACGGGTTATTTGTGTATCGTTCCAGTCACGGTATTGCGCCTTTTTTTGTTCTTACCTCTTTGTGTTCAGCTTTTACCAGCAACATAATATTCAACAAGACTGTGTCGCACTCTGCACTATGCCTTTCGCGTGCACTTAGATAGAGAGGACTGGGGTGTGCAGTACGAAGATCGTGCAATGTCCATAATACAACAAATAATAATAATAAATTATATTATTATTTCATGTTTTATGCCAAAAATTTATTTAGTGACATGTAAAGTCCTGATTTTCTATATATTTTTTTTAGTCTCTCCTGCTGACTGGAAAAGTGTCAGGGGAGACTGAACAAGATGGAGCTGACACTCACGGTACTCGACTCAGGAGGCAAGATGAACATTCACAGCTTGGGAAAGGTTTCTTCCTGCCTACCCTTAACAGCCTCACGGAGCGCCAAACTTCCTCACAGAGGCTGCAAATCAATCCACAATTCATCAATCGTCGGAAGGAGGTTCAACAAGGCCGGATCAACGCTCTTCAAGTTGATGGAGTGAGGAATTCCATTGCCAATTCTATTTCTAACAAACCTGGGCGGATAAGGGATAGGAACCCTTCAGGATTTCAACCTAGAGGGTTTCAGAGAAGATTCTTGCAGAGAGGAAACCTTAATAGACTAGGCAGCTCGTTGCCTGTCGGTGTGTCCTCCAGACAACCAACTTACCGTCGGCAGGTTACACGAGTACCATCTACTCAGCAGAAAGTGAGTACGGCTTCGTCAGAGGAACCAGATGACGACCAAGATTCACGTGAAGTCCTCAACAGTGACCCTCTCGGGTTGTTTAAAGGACGCAACTCGAAACTGACAGCAGGGAATCAATTCGCAGTTCGACGGGCGTTGTCAGGGAGTTTCAACTCCCACTTTCACCCCGGGCTCAGAGCGTCAGACCCTCAGTTTCTATCAGGGCTCAAAATGCATTGCAGTCTCAGACCGTAAAAAAAAATCCTTTTCATGAAGGAAGAGTGTTGTCACAGAGGCGAAGTCAACAAGCCCCTTCGTTTACTCGAAGTCAGCAGCAAACACCCCCATTCACACGAAGTCAGCAGCAAACACCCCCATTCACACAAAATCAGCAAACACAAACATTCCCACGAAGTCAGCAAGAAACCTCTTTCTTCACACCAAGACAAACACAAAGATCGCAGAATCTTAGACAACTGCAAGGTCAAAGATTCTTGAAGCCTGGTCCCCAAATTACGCTTGCGAGGCCTCAGATAATATCCCAGAGACTCCGATCTCAGTCTTCACCAACGCCACAAATTACACATCAAAACAAACAGACTTCATTACTTCAAAGACCTCAGATTGGCTCACCAGTCAGAGTTGCCAATCAGATCAGACCACAAGCGCCTCAAGCGTCGATTATCCGACTTCAGCCAATCAGGGTCACTCAGACACTCAGCACGGCAGCCCCTGGACAGAGTCAGCAATGGCTGACTCTGAAGCCACGAACTCAGAATCTGTTTCAGCGACGTCAGGGATTGGTGAGTGAGAGGTCACAATCACCAGTTCAACAATCACAATCACCAATTCAACAATCACAATCACCAGTTCAACAATCACAATCACCAGTTCAACAATCACAATCACCAATTCAATCACAATCACCAGTTCAACAATCACAATCACCAATTCAACAATCACAATCACCAGTTCAACCATCACAATCACCAGTTCAAGAATCACAATCACCAATTCAACAATCACAATCACCAATTCAACAATCACAAGCATCAGTTCAACAATCACAATCACCTGTTCAACAGTCTCATGTTCTGGTTCAACAATCACAATCACCAGTTCAACAATCACAATCATCTGTTCAACAGTCTCATGTTCTGGTTCAACAATCACAATCACCTGTTCAACAGTCTCATGTTCTGGTTCAACAGCCACAATCACCTGTTCAACAGTCTCATGTTCTGGTCCAACAGCCACAATCACCTGCTCAACAGTCTCATGTTGTGGTTCAACAATCACAATCACCTGTTCAACAGTCTCATGTTCTGGTTCAACAGCCACAATCACCTGCTCAACAGTCTCATGTTGTGGTTCAACAATCACAATCACCTGTTCAACAGTCTCATGTTGTGGTTCAACAATCACAATCACCTGTTCAACAGTCTCATGTTGTGGTTCAACAGCCACAACATCTAGCACCTCAGAGTTCACAGGCCCCAGTTGAACCACTAACAACAGAAAGACAAATAATACAGAGACCACAATTTGCATCCGTCTCTCCTCAGCTGGAGAATAAAGAGCTTAATACACTTCCAGCAAGGCCAACAACACTTCCCATCCAGCTGTCTGGATTCCAGAGACAGTTATCGCCACAGACCTCGGAGCAAAGGCCAGCAACAACACCGGACTTCCAGGACACAGCTGCCTTCGGAGTACCTCTTCCAGTGTCGCCTCAGCTTTCACAGTCCACGATAGATGAAAGTCTGAAGCTTCAAGCTCGGGGTAACCCTCGAAGTCATTCCCAGCGGCGGCAGCAGCATGGTGCACAGACATTCTTGACGTCTTCCACGTCTCTCCCAGCTGCTGGTACTAGACAGGGACAAGTTGGAGTGTTCCTTCACCAAACACGTCCACAATCAACCATTGTGTCAACTTCGCCATCAACTGTGAAGGCAAGAGAGGGACAACAGCGTCTTCAGTCAACTGTAGTGTCATCTCCGACACCAGCTACTGGAGGCAGACAAGGACAAGGTGGAGTACTCCTCCACCAAACAAGTCCACAGTCAACTGTAGTGTCACCTCCGTCACCAGGTACTGGAACTAGACAAAGACAAGGTGGAGTACTCCATCAAGCACGTCCACAGTCAACTGTAGTGTCAACTCCATCACCAGCTACTGGAACTAGACAAGGACAAGGTGGAGTACTCCTCCACCAAACAAGTCCACAGTCAACTGTAATGTCATCTCCATCACTTGCTACTGGAACTAGACGAAGACAAGGTGGAGTGCTCCTCCACCAAACAAGTCCACAGTCAACTGTAGCGTCAACTCCATCACTAGCTACCGGAACTAGACAAGGACAAGGTGGAGTACTCCATCAAGCACGTCCACAGTCAACTGTAGTGTCACCTCCATCACCAGCTATTGGAACTAGACAAGGACAAGGTGGAGTACTCCTCCACCAAACAAGTCCACAGTCAACTGCAGTGTCACCTCCATCACTAGCTACTGGAACTAGACAAGGACAAGGTGGAGTACTCCATCAAGCACGTCCACAGTCAACTGTAGTGTCACCTCCATCACTAGCTACTGGAACTAGACAAGGACAAGGTGGAATACTCCATCAAGCACGTCCACAGTCAACTATTGCGCCACAGGTAAGATATATTAATGTACAGTAGAGTCAGTTTATATTCAGAACCAATCTAAAATTTATTGTCAGCCAGATCACAATGGTCTTTGGTGTTTGCATACCTTTAAGGATGTAAGATGTATTGAATAAGATGGAAAAAATATTTAATGGAATCTATTTGCTAGTTACTGGAATTTTAAGCCAATCGACTGTCCGAGGGTCATAAAGCTGCATATAACCTGGTAACTACCTGTCAACTACTGTCTGCCTTAGCTCGCGTTTTCAATAAGTCACTTTGTCCGACCTTTTCCTGGATAATCGTGGGTAATTTACACTAAGTATGATAATTGTATTTATTTGCACCCGTACCTAAATAAACTTTCTACCTTACATTATCGTCATTACGCGACATGTCGAAGTAAAAGATACTTGTCAGTTTTAATAATAATAATAATAATAATAATAATAATAATAATAATAATAATAATAATAACAGCACCCATTATCGTCATGGTATGATAATTAAGACATATGTGCAACGGTTAGGTAACTTTATCCCGAAACGCTTCGCCTACACAGCAGGCTTCTTCAGTCGAGTACAGAAGAGTTAGCAAAAGCAGCAGAGATGTGAAGACGATGTAATCAGTCCATCAGCCTTGAAGACGTAGTTTTGAGGTGGTCAGTCCCTCAGCCTGGAGTAAAGTATTGTTCCATAATCTGGTACATTGTGAAGATAAAACAACAGTAGTCTTATATAATGTCAAGGGCGAAGCTTTGAAGACGTAAATGAATTCTTGAATTATGATACATAAATATAAGAGAAAATATTCATGGAATTTAATTTGTAGATGGTAGTAAGTAGTAGCAATAATAATAATAATAATAATAATAATAATAATAATAATAATAATAATAATAATAATAATAATAATAATAATAATAATCTTTATTTCTACCAGTACAAATACAAGGTATACAGACCATAGTTGACATCAGTGACATACTACTATATAGAAAGCCGCTTGTTATGCTGAGCATTTCCCGCAAATTAGGTCAGTTTTGTCCCAGGATGCGACCCACACCAGTCATCCAACACCCAGGTACTTATTTAGTAGCTAGGTGAAGAGTGACAGCAGGTGTCTTAAGGAAACACGAACTAATGTCTCCACCCGTACCGGGGATCGAGCCCCCGGAACTCAGTGTGTGAGCCAAGTGTGCTAACAATCAATAGATACAGATATTTTTCGACTTATTTCGCAAATGAACTCCATTTTTTTGTACTAAAATTACAGAACTGCGGTGTTGGAAAGTCAATTTTTAACATTTCTAACGAAATTTGCCAAAAATCTTTACATTCACACACACGCACACATACCACAATTAATCTACACCCATGTCACTCCTAACATGTATGAAATCTGGTACAGGATACATATGAAAACTCTGTGTGTCTTTCACTCCTCACAGGGTCAGTCACAGTCTGGGAATTTACGTATAGTCCTGGACACATCTCCTGAAGACTTCGACGATTCTCGAGAAAGAGTCTTTGACCATAGCTCGTCTGTCAACTTAGCAAGTTCGCTAAGACGAGAAAGCCATAGTGCCCTTGGGATCACGTCTCAGGTGCCAGCGAGGAGGTTTGCAGCGCTACAAGACAATACCCACGAAGACATAACAGTGGAAGAGGATTCAAGAGAGCTCTTGCTTCAGAACGGGAGAAAACCTGTGCCCATCACGGGTTTGATTCCTCATTCAGACCAAGGCACTTCGACCCTTCTGGGTGGAAACAGTCGAAGTGTGCTGCTTGATCTGACGAAGGAAGACCTTACAAGAGAGGACATTACAAGAGAGGACCTTACAAGAGAGGACCTTTCAAGAGAGGACATTACAAGAGAGGATCTTACAAGAGAGGACCTTACAAGAGAGGACCTTACAAGAGAGGACCTTTCAAGAGAGGACCTTACCAGAAACGACATCATTTTCGTGCCACCTCCGTCACCAGCTGCTGTAATAAGACAGGGACACCGAGGTCGACAGTCAGCTGTTGTGTCACCCCCATCACCAGCTGCTGTGGCAAGACAGGGACACTCAGGTCGACAGGCAGCTGTTGTGTCACCCCCATCACCAGCTGCTGTGGCAAGACAGGGACACCCAGGTCGACAGCCAGCTGTTGTGTCACCCCCATCACCAGCTGGTGGAGCAAGACAGGGACAAGCTGGTCTGTTCCTCCACCAAACACTCCCACAGTCAACAGTTGTGTCGCAACAGTCACCAGCTACTGGAATTAGACAGGGACAAGTTGGAGTACTCCTTCAACAAACACATCCACAGTCAACCATTGTATCAAAGGTGAGATAGAGTAATTGATGCTATGTCACTTCAAATTCAAAACTGATGTATTAAAACATTCTTCCAACCAAATAAAAAACACGATCTTTGCTTGAAAAAAACAGGTAAGCCAGATCACAAAAGTCTTTAGTATCTTTCTACGTTTAAGATCGTAATAAAATATAATTATAATGAATTTAAACAAATATTTACTTTTCTAGGTTAAGAATTGGTTAATTGGGTTCAAGCTTACTGACTACACGAAGGTCATTAAGCTTGCATGGCCCTTGTTCACCACCAAAATAGAGGCTAAATAAGCGCAAATAAGCTCTCAGTTTATGTACACTAAGAGACCTACACAGTGTATATAACACTGTGGCTCTGCAAGTGAACGTTAGTATTAAAATATTGCAGACTTGCGTTGAAAAGCGATTTTTAGCCTTTTTAGTCAAATTTGTCACACACACACAATTGCCTTCGACTACTGGTAATTATTAATTACTGCTGCACACTTATACGTGCCACAAGTAATCCAATACTGACCCACAAACTACCATACGTAATCTGTATTAAACTACCACAGAATACATACCCCCTCCCCCCCTTCTCCAAGATTACCATCTTGTCTCTTAGAGAAATTTCTAGCTCCTGTCTCTTGTCGTTGCATATTCCAATGATTCCCTCTGCCAAACTGTTAATTATAAAGAAATCTATCTACGTGTCGCTTGTTTTTACTCCCCACAGGGTCAGCCACAGTCTGGTAATTTGCGTACAGTCCTGGACGCGTCCCCTGAAGACTTCGACGAGTCTCGTGAAGTTATCTTAGGTCATCGCTTAGCTAACTCGAAGACTGTGCCAAGAGGGGAGGGCCAAGGTGTTGATAGGGCAACGTCTCAGGTGCCAACAAGGAGGTCTGCAGCTCTTGGAGATAATATACAAGGAGATATGACAGTGGAGGAAGATTCAAGAGAATTCTTTCTCAAAGCAAGGAAACTCACGGCCACTGGAGGCTTCAAGCAGCCTAGTGACCAACACACAGCGGCACTTCTGCCGGGAAATGGTCGAGGTGTTGTGCTTGATTTAACGAAGGAGGACTTGACAAGAGAGGACCTTACCAGAGAGGACCTTACAAGAGAGGACCTTACCAGAGAGGACCTGACAAGAGAGGACCTTACCAGAGAGGACCTTACAAGAGAGGACCTAACAAGAGAGGACCTTACAAGAGAGGACCTTACAAGAGAGGACCTTACTAGAGAGGACCTTACAAGAGAGGACCTTACGAGAGAAGACCTAACAAGAGAGGACCTTACAAGAGAGTACATTACAAGAGAGGACCTTACAAGAGAAGATCTTACCAGAGAGGACCTTACCAGAGAGGACCTTACCATGGAGGACCTTACCAGAGAGGACCTTACCATGGAGGACCTTACCAGAGAGGACCTTACCAGAGAGGACATTACAAGAGAGGACCTAACAAGAGAAAACAATAGCCACGAACTTTTCCACTGAGACGAACAATGGCGCTAACATTCCCGTCTCACCAACAGTCAATAACATGAAATACACACACAATATTATTATATTTTATGTATTTATTTTCACTTTACTTGTGCATGTGTACTCACCTACATGTGGTTGAAGGGGTCGAGTCACAGCCCCTGGTGCGCTTCTGAGATTTCTACATTATGTACATGTGTATGGTGAGTACCGATGGAAACTGATATATATATATATATAATATATATATATATATATATATAATATATATATATATATATATATATATATATATAAACTGTACATAAGGAATTAAAATTTGCAAGGTTCATGGGTTTAATTAAACCGGTACATTTTGGTTTATCAAAAAATATTTCAGGTAAGCCACAGGCTTTGATGTTGGTGCAGGGTTCTTGATTTTAGGAAGTGGAGCAACTCTATGTCAAGTGTGAGTATCTCACTACCACGACAACTACCATTACCATCACTACCACAACTACCACTATCATTACCATCACTACTGCCACGACTACCACTATCATTACCATCACTACCACCACCACCACAACTACCAATATCATTACCATCACTACCACCACCACAACTACCACTATCATTACCATCACTACCACCACAACTACCACTATCATTACCATCACTACCACCACAACTACCACTACCATTACCATCACTACCACAACCAGCACAACTACCACTATCTTACCATCAATACCATCACAATTACCACTATTATCATCACTACCACCACAACTACCACTATCATTACCATCACCACAACTACCACTATCATTACCATGATTACCACCACTGTTACTATCATTAACAGCACAACTACCACCATCCTCCTCAAACCAACACAATCACCCCCATAACCACCCAAATAACACCTCCACAAACCACCCCATAATACCACCACAACCCCCCAGTAGTACCACGACCCATAATACCACCACAACCACCCAATAGTACCACGACCCCATAATACCACCACAACCACCCAATAGTACCACGACCCCATAATACCACCAAAAACCCACCCAATAGTAACACGACCCTAATACCACCAAAAACCCCCCCAATAGAAAACCCCGACCCCATAACCCCACAACCACCCAATAGTACCACGCCCCCATAAAAAACCACCAAAACCCCCCCAAATAGTCCCACGACCCCCATAAACCACCCAACCACCCAATATACCACGACCCCAAATACAACCCAACCCCCAAAATATACCACGACCCCATAAACCACCACAACCCCCCCAAATAGTACCACGCCCCCCAAAAACCCCACCACAACCACCCAAAAGCAACACGCCCCCCAACCACAACCCCCAATAGCACACGACCCCATACCACCACAACTTCCCAGAAAACCCACGATCCCATAATGCACCACAACCCCCCAGTAGCAGCACACCCCAACACCACAACCCCCCAACAAAAACGACCCCATACCACCACATCTTCCCAGTGGAACAGACCCCAAAATAAACCCCAAAACCCCCCCAGTAGCAGCACGACCCCAAAAACACCACAAACCCCAGTACAACGCAGCCCCATGATCCCCCTGGTGGCCTGGTGGCAAACACTCTCGCTTCACACGGGCGAGGGGCCGGGGTTCGATTCCCAAACCAGAGTAGAAAATTGGGGCGTGTTTTTTTACCCATTTGTCTATTTTCCCCATCAGTAAAAGGGTATTGGGGTTTAGTGACTGGTTGGGTCGCATCCGGGGACACGACCTAATTTGCCCGACATCGGAGCATAACAAGCCGCTTACTAAAAATTTAAAAGATAAGATTTCGTGGGATTTTAACCCCGGGGGTTTACCCACAGGAAAACCCAAAAATCAGTGAGTCACAAGGACTAATTTATTTCCATTGGGGCCCTTAATTTTGCCCCAGATCGACCCACACCAGTCGACTAACACCCAGGTACCTATTTGCTGCAGTGAACAGGACAACAGGTTTAAGGAAACGGTCAAAAAGTTTACACCCGCCGGGAATCGAACCCGGGCCCTCCGTTGTGAACGGAGTTTAAAACCACCAGGCCACCGATAGTCAACGATGTCAGCTATGGTCTGTATACCTTGTACGGTACTTGTAGTAAATAAAGATGATTATTATTTTTACTAGGGGGCAACACGTCCCCAAAATACCACATAACCCCCCAGTGAAACACGTCCCCAAATACCACCAAACCCCCCATAGCAACACCCCCCATAAACCACCACAATCCCCCAAGCAACACGTCCCCATAATACCACCCAATCCCCCAGTAGCAACACGTCCCCAAATACCCCACAATCCCCCATACAACACCCCCATAATACCACCACAACCCCCAGAGCAACACGTCCCCATAATACCACCAAAACCCCCCCCAGTACAACACGCCCCCCCCATAATACCACCACAACCCCAGTACAACCGTCCCCAAATCCACCAAAATCCCCCTACAACACGTCCCCAAAACCACCAAAACCCCCCAGTACAACACGTCCCCAAAAAACCCACCACAACCCCCGCAGTAGCAACACTCCCCAAATCCCCCAAAACCCCCCCGTAGCAACACTCCCCATAATACCACCCAACCCCCCAGTACAACACGTCCCCATAATACCCCCCAAACCCCCCAGTAGCAACACTCCCCAAAATACCACAACCCCGCAGTACAACACTCCCCAAAACCACCACAATCCCGCAAAACCCAACGTCCCCATAAACCCCACAATCCCCCAGTAGCAACACGCCCCCCTAATACCACCAAAATCCCCCATGGCAACACGTCCCCATAATACCACCACAACCCCCATACAACATCCCCAAAAACCACCACAACCCCCCATACAACCGTCCCCAATCCCACCACAACCCCCAGAGCAACCGCCCCTAATACCACCAAACCCCCAGTAGCAACACGCCCCCCATAATACCCCCACAACCCCCCATACAACACAACCCATACCACCACAACCCCCAGTACCACGACCCCATACCCCCACACCCCCCATACAAAGAACCCCATACCACCACAACCCCCCCCAGAGAAAACAGGGCCCCCCCATACCACCACAACCCCCAGTAACACACGCCCATCCCACAACCCCCCCCATATAGCACCCCCCATACCACCACAACCCCCCTACAACACGACCCCATACCACCCACAACCCCCCGGGAGTTTACCGGGAGAGAGTTCCGGGATCAACGCCCCAGCGGCCCTCTGGACCGGCCTCCGGGTGGATCAGAGACGACAACCGGGCGTTACGCTGGCTGCACCAAACCAAGAGAACCACAGCCCGGCTGGTCAAAAAACCGCCTTTAGAGTTTTCCAGGCCAGCTTGAAGACTGCCGGGGCCTTTTGGGTAATCCCCCTTTATGTATGCTGGGGGCAGTTGAACAGTCGGGCCCCTGACACTTATTGTAGGCCTTTTAACTGCTAGTGACACCCCAGTTTTCAGGGGGGGTTTGCATCGTCTGCCAAGTTTTTTTTGCTTTCGATGAGTGATTTTCGGTGCAAGTTCGGACATCCCTCTAAAATTTTCCGGGTGTATAAATCATGTATCTCTCCCGCCTGTTTTCCGGGGAAACGGGTTTTCGGGAACCTCAAGCGCTCCCAGAAAATTTGGGTGTTTTATCTCCGTTATGCCGCCGGAAGGTTCCTGTACATTTTCTAGTCCAATTTTCACCTCCCTTTGAAAGTGCTGTTAGTGGCACAATATTCCACCTAGAAAAACAAGTGACCTAAAATGTCATCATGGGCTTGGCATCCCATTTTTGAAGTTCTCATTATCCATCCTGTCTTTTTCTAGCAGATGCGATGAAAAAATTTTATGGTCTTTGAAGGTGAATCCTCCGAAAAGATCACTCCCAGTTTTTGACTTTGGTTTTCGCTTTTTTTGTGCCAGAATTTGTTTTTGTACTCGATGAAGATTTAATTTCCTCTTTTTACCCAATCTGATAATTAAAATTTCCATCTTTGAACTTCATATTTTTTTCCCTGCAGCCCACGAAAGTTTTGGTTGATGTCCCCCGGGAGCCTTGCAGTGTCTAAGGAAGACACTGTCATGCGTTTCGGGTGTCATCTGCAAAGGAAGACACGATGCAGTGGCTACATCCTTTCATGCGGTATGAGGAGAGGAGCAAGATGGAGCGATACGTGCTTGTGGAACAGAGTTTTTTTCACCGTAGCTCCCCGGGACTTTACCCTGTTGACGACTCTCTCTGTTTCTGTTAGTGGGGAAATTATGACCACGACCAACTTTTCCTGTTATTCCTTACCGCATTTTGTGCCTATTACCCCATGTCACACTTGTCGAAGGGCTTTTGCAAACTGTATATATTACACTCATTCTTTTTGTCTTCTAGCACATCAGCCCTTGTAGTGATCCAATATTAGACAGACAGGATGACCTTTCAAAACCCTGTTTCCCGGGGTTTGTAATTTATGGGTTTCTAGATGGGTGGTGACTCAAACTCCACCCTTCGCGTTAGCCACAGACCCTTTCCACAATAAGATTTTCCCCAAAAGGTATATTTTTTAAAACCAAGAAAATACCATTGGTAACCCCATTGTGGAGCTGGTCAGTGGGGAAACGCGAAAAGGCTGGGGTTTTTTAGACCTATCCGCGGGTTCAATCCCGGGCCGGGGGATGGGTGGTGATCTTTCTTCTTTGGACCCCTTTAAAGATTTTATGATATGGGGTGTTTAGTGCTATCGGTTTTTTAGTTCTTTGCTGTTCTTTACTGCCCCATTTTTGGAGTGGGGCAATGTCTGTTGTTTTAGTAACTTGGACACCCCCGTGTCCATGCTCCCCCTCCATAGGAGGTAAAAGCTCGTGATAGGGGCTTCTTGCTTTTTTAATGAACACGGGGCCATGAGCTGCCCGGGGCCCGAGTGCATGGGCAGTCATTTAAACGCCTTTCGAATCATTTGGTTCAGGATAACAAAGACAGGGGTTTTGTTTAAACCAAATTTCTGTGGCTCTCTCATAAAAAATTCATTTTTTGATCTTTTCGACCTCATCTGGTTAGCGGGTTCTAAAAAAATAGTCTATTGGGACTTTATACTCACTCTTTCCTTTCGTCAACTGTGTAGGACCCATCTTGTTTTAAATAGGGGCCCAATACGGACGTTTTTTTTGACTTTTGTTTGGCAAGGAGAAGAAAACTT